AATCAAACCCATTAAGGCCGGTAATTTTATAAAGTAAAACGATTCTAGCTGAGGTGAAATGAGCGCCAATTTGGCGCTGCTGTTAGGCGTCCCACCGAATCATCGCGTCGTATATGATTAAATAATTTTGGTTTTAGAGTTTTAACCTGACCAGGACTTGAAGGTATTTCTCAATAACCACGGCTAGACCACTTAAACTGGTTCCAGGCATCTCCGGGAAATTATTCTTTTTTGTATTCAAGGGCGGAGACCCGTTTTAAACATTATGTGTGTAATATGCTTGAAATTGGGATTGCAATTGGTTTTTGTTTTAGTTATCTTTTGGAACTTGTTTGCTTTGGACGTATTTCATACTTTTTGCGAACAGACAAGGATAAATTGTTTTACAAATACTACTCACATTGCTGTTTTGAGCTTAAAATCAATTCTTTTTATGTGATTCAAAAACAGCAAATGAAATATTTTGATTTAACTGAGTAATAGAACAAAAGCAAGTTTGAATATTTTGTATTCGTGGATCCATCAAGCAATATTTAAGTAAGCCAAACATTTACTTGTAGTAGAAACTGTTTTATCATCCGTTCTGGGAAACGTAAAGAGGACAAGAAAATGTAATAATAAACCGTGCCGATACAAATTAAGTTACAAAAAATGTCAATATCAATGAACTATCGTGAAATTACGTTAAACTTGTTTATTTTCAGATATTGTCAGAAAGGAAACTTATGGTACGTTTTAATTACAGTCATGAATCGGGCTGAATTCACGCGATGCACAAAGAAGTCGAGCAACTAGTTGCACTATATAGATACTATTTCATTTCAAGTAAAATATAATGCAATGATTTGAAAATGTGCATTTTATCAGCTGGTGCGACAACATGCGTTGAATTATGTATCGAATAATTTAGTAAGTAGGTGAGGTAATGGTTGTAAAGCGAACGAAGCACGCATGCGCAGGTGCTCGGCTGCGCGGCGTGCTTGCGCAGTGCAACCGATAACGGCGCACACGCCGTGCGCAACCAGATACGTGTAACGGTAATATTTGTACGACACCACGTTTGATTTATTCTATCAAACATGAGATTCTTTATGGTTTAAATTTTGATTTTGAACTCTGTGTGCACTTTATGGACGAAATATGACCTGTTCTGTACTAATTAGGTAAACGAAGGATTTTCTAAACAAATGATTAAGTTATTAGGATTTTTTAAACTTCGGGTTATTCTAAAGTATACACAGAGAGTATGTGATCATTGCTATACCTAATACATACTATATTAAGATTGTAAGGAATATTCTTTACTTATTATTAACACACATTTTCGTTTTAAGCGGATTATGACACATAATTTACTTATCAGCGTGGATTTTTAAAATATTTCAGGGTGGATAGCATAAGAGAAATGATTTTAGGCGACGCAATCCTATTTTAATTTTCCTGAGTATCATTTTAATCTTCTTAAAAATTTTACTTTTTAGAATGAAACAAAAGTTTACACAAAATTAACTATTATTGGGTTTTTATAAGGAGTTCTAAAACGGCCAGTTTGTTATCGTTAAACTCGTTTGTTCTACCTTTTCTTTAATGCCACTTACAACAGATAGTCAATTTTTTGGAGTTCCTAGGATCATCTAGTATGTCCATCTTCAACTGTTGCATTTTCCACACAACCGACTGGCCCATCTAAATTAACCATTCCCGGACCGTTTGACGATAAATCTCCAAGTGACGATGGCGAGATGGCCGTCGCTGGCCGAGCGGCGTCCGCACGAATCGACTATTCATAAGACTAGACTGGCTACAAGACGGGAATAAAAATTAAATTATTATTGTTGTGCCACACGGAATCGATGATCAGTACGTGGTTCACGTGCGGGATTGTACCTGTGGTTTGTAGAGGTTTGTATTTGTGGTACTCGGAGTGTCGAGGAGTGCATGGCCCCCAGTAATAACTAACTGCAGGTCCTTATCAAGACTCGCATACCCGGTAGAGTTTATGGGCTCTACTGACCTGCACTGACCCACGGACCGCGGGAACTCCGCCGCCATCTTGAGATCATGACATGTGTGCGGAAATTGAAGCGAATCAATGAAGAGGACACGTTGCAAAGTTTTCCTCAGGGTAAGAAATTGATTTACTAGGTCTGAAATTGACCACAGGGGAAACATTGCCGTTGTTTGGGGAAACGGGTAGTAAAGAAGAAACCCGAGTTGACTATCTACGTGAAATTTTGGACAACGGGTTCCGTTAGTCGTTTTAGTAGTAGAAAAACATGTTTGGAAGAGGCACTTTAGTCGCAAAAGTGTCACCACATCCTGTAATGGATCATTTCTTCTTCTACACATATTAACCAGATAAACACAAAATACCTTTGGATTCACAAGTATTGACAACACGAAAAGATTTTTCCCAAATCACAATCTAAAATTCAACAAACCCCGCCACTTCGCTCTCGGTCGCTGTCACAAACCATTTCCTGCGGGCCTCAGAACATCATTGAACAGGAGCGATGTTGGATGTTGAATGTAGAACGGGAGGTGCGAATCCCGAGTGGACCTTTTCACACGTAACCCTAGCTGGTAGAACAATACAATGCGGCGGTTCGGTTACAGCCCTGCGGCCTTCGCCAATCACTCAACCAGCCGCTCTCGCTCTCAAACCACTTGCAGCATCTCGGGAGCACGAGGTGTTTCTGAATCTGGGGAAATGTCTTATTGAACCGTCGATTTCAAAATAGGGAACAGAATTCACGTTCGCTTTGGGTTATCTATAATTTCCTTTTGGATTGATCTGAATCTGGGAAAATCTATGCATTTATAAGAATCATTAGAGCACATACGCAGTCGGTGACGTAGACCTTGAGAATCATGTGAAAATTTCAAGTGTGTACAGCAACACAGTTGTCTGAATATAGAGAAATCCCTACTAAACAATATTAGCATTAGAATACGTCCTCGGCAGCATAGCTATTTCTAGAACTTGAGCAAATTTATACAACGGCCTGAAGTTGGCAAGCGTCTCAAAAATCTTGGTTCTATAAATTTGAAAATATTTTATAGGTTTGGAGTTGCTATGCGTAAATCAGGATACATTCACGGTTGATCGTTTCCAGATCTCGCGTACATTTATGAGATGGGTCCTCAACGGTTCCAGCCAAACGTTCCTATTCATTCACGAGTCCGCTAAAAGTTTGATAGGGAAGAAGTTTAACCCTGGTTTAGAAATATTCCTCAGATAAGGCCCTGATTAAGGCTTACGCCTAAGCCGGTGGACTTTCTTCTGGTTTTGTTTGAGTATTTGACAATAGTTTATTAATCCTTCCCTAAAAGTCTACCGATCAATAAAGGGTTTAAATTCCCTACTGATTATCCTAGTAACTGATTATCCTACTGAAAATTCTTTTGCTTTAAATACTAGATATTACCTCAGTTGAAAACAAAACAATAGATTTACTAACAATTCAGAAAGTTTACATGTTGATTAGTATTTCAATACTTTTTTTTTTAAGAGGTTGGCGGCCTCTTTTAACCTTGCATTTGCACGTCCACATAGACTAAGCGCCCGTGCGTGGATCGTTTGCAGCAAAGCAAGGAGTGAGCCGGTACAGTACAAAGGTGAACTGTACTGATAAAATGTTATCGGCAGTGACCAGGATCCGAACCCACGACATCGCTGCCTCGGGCCCGAAGTCCGCGACGCTACCGACTGAGCCACCGACTCACTAAATACTAGTAACTTCGCAACACATTTACTAGAACTGAACACACTTATGTAACAGCCAAGCGTTTGCCCAAAATATCTGAATACCCAAGTGAATTTACAACATTATGGAGCGATCTAATCTACTTAATAAGTTATAAATAAAAGTAGAAAGGCTGATTAACTAGAAGGCATTAACATGTCAAACTAATTAACGATTAATATATCTATACTTGCAACGGGCAAATCTCTTGCAACCTAATTTATAGCATTACACCTCGAAGTTATTAGCGTCTTAATTAACAACTAGTTATAAATCGGGTGTAAGCTAAGGTGCTATTACACGATAGAACTATATTCTGATATATTTATGAGACATTGGATTACGTCATCGTTTATAACATAAATTCACGGGTGCTCTTAAAAGCTTTGACCTTTATTTGTGTCTAGATAGAATTAGTACTATCACTATCCTTTGTCTACCAACAACACAGACTCAGGCTAGAAAACGAAAATTTATCAGTGGAGCAAAATGAATGAAGTAAGTTTTCAAAACAAACGTTTTCTAACTCCTTATATTTCTAGGATCAGATCACGTTGAAGAATAAACTGAATAGGTTGTAAACCGTGGGAAACACTGTCCCAAAGATATTTGCCTCTGTACGCTTGTAATGGGCCTGTGACATTCACCAAATAATCAAACCCCCAGAGACAAGCGACGCACAGTGAGACGCCGAGATTCGATAAGAGACATTAGGCCCTCGTTAGACCTATGACAGTAAAAGGGATCCAAATTTATGTTAAAGGAACATATCAGAACACGGGAAAGATTTTTAAAGCCAAACCGAATATATCGGAAAGAAGAGTCGAAACCTGTTGGGATCATTAAAGGCCCACTTTCCCTGGAGGGACATAAAACTGCTGGTTTATGTGACGGGGGGTTCAGGGGACAAGACGACCCAGATAGCGCCACCCACCAACGACCCGGACCGGCGACAGACGCCGCAGCGAAACAATTAGTCGTCATAGAACATCTAGTGTCTTCAGATCCGTCTTCAATAGACGAACATTGTTGGGACAAAATGCATGCACAAATGGAATGGCGTTTAATTTGAATTTGGGTTTCGCGAACACTTGGAATTTGTATGCTGACAATTTGATTTGTAAACACTTTGCCAGTAGTGTTTGAAATTTCATCATAGCTTTAGTAGGCATTTCTGAGGATAAAATGCACATGTGGTGTTATCACAAATGAATAGAATAAAATAAATCCAAGGAAATCGATATCAACACTAACCTTGAGCACACAGTGTCCTTTGCTCTCGTTCTCCGGAAGGGTGATGTTGTAGAAGGTCTGGTCGAAGATGGGCTCATTGTCGTTGACATCGTGGATGGTCACTAGCACAGTCGCGGAGGACGAGAGGGGCGGATCCCCACTGTCCGTCGCCACCACCGTCAGTTGAGGCACCGGGTCAGTCTCACAATCAATGTGCGACTTTGTCGTGATCAGTCCAGACCGCGGATCTATCTGGAACCACGACGAATGGACCTCTGTGTTCTCCTGAATAGAGTAGGTCAGAACGGAGTTTTCCCCTTCGTCGATATCTACAGCTTTGATCTGAAACACCGAGGTACCGGGGTCCGCCACTTCCAACACGTTAGCGTAGTACACGGCCTCCTCAAACTGTGGGGCGTTGTCGTTGATGTCCGTGACCCGCAGGTGGAATGTTCGCGACGCGTGTAGAGGCGGTGTTCCCGTGTCCGTGGCTATGACGCTGAGTGTGTAGTTGGGCCTCTGTTCTCTGTCTATGGGGAGAGACACTATCACGAGGTAGATGATGTTGTCCTGTGTCGCCAACCCGAAGTGCCCCTCCCCTCCCTCCAGGGTCACGTTTACGTTGGAGTACTCCGTCTTCGAGTCCGGGTCGTTCACCGATATCCTAGCCACGAACTCGCCCGGTTGAGCCATTTCAGAAATCTTTGGTGTAGCGTCGTCACTGAGGAAGATGACGTTTATCGTGGGTTGGTTGTCGTTCACGTCGGTCACCCTGATCGATACGAAAGCGGTGGTTTCTAATGGTTGTACCCCGTGGTCTTTGGCTACCACGACGAGCTCGTGCACTTCTTTCGTTTCAAAATCCAACGGTTTGTTTACAGTGACCATTCCCGTTTTGGAGTCGATCTTGAACATCCCTTCTCTATCACTTTGTCTCCTGTTGATGGAATACTCGACTTCACCGTTCTCACTGGCGTCCGCGTCTGTAGCGTGAACTTGCAGGATCGACGTTCCGACTGTCGCGTTCTCGGGGACCGTGGCGAAATACCTGCTCTGGTTGAAGATGGGCTGGTTGTCGTTCACGTCCTGGATGGTAATGTTGACAGTCATTTGGCCTTTCAGTGGTGGACTTCCTCCATCCAACGCTTCTATCACAAGACTGTAGCCCGCTGTAGTCTCTCTATCCAGGAACCCATTGATCTGCAGGTCCAGGTACAGCACTCCGTCGCGCTCCCGATGCGACGACAGACGAAACGCGTTGTTGACGTTACCCGACACTATGTTATACCTTTGCGTGTTGTATATACCGAGGTCCAGGTCTCTCGCGGGGTTTAACGTCCTTTTCACGTCTCGCGGCGTATTCTCGGGGAACTCTATACTCATGACGGGGCTCGGGAACGTCGGCGCGTTGTCGTTCTCGTCTAGCACTCGCACTACCACTCGCACGTTCTCACCACTGAGCGGGATCGCTACCAAAGAGTAGGACGCACGGGTCTCTCTGTCCAGCGGCACCTTAGTCCTGATCTCTCCCGTGTTCTGCTCTATACTCAGTTCCGTGTCTACCGCACTCCCGGGCACCGGCACTATCAGGTAGGGCGGTCCGCTGTCACTGGAGGAGCCGTCCCCGATGAAGCCCACCCTGGTCCCCACGGGCGCTCCCTCGGACACCTCCAGGTCTCTGACGTGCTCGGCGTCGCACCCGAGGACCAGTAGCACCAGCAGCGGCCACTCGGTCCTCCACCACCGCCTGGGTCGCATCCTGCCTCCTGCGACCGCCATCACGTAGACACCGACACCATAGCGTCCACCTCTCTGCAACAAAACACACAGTCAGTCATGTAACAATAGAAACTACTTCTGACACTTAGCCCTCAAAAAGGCAACAACTTATAAATAACGCTCGCATGGATCAATATTTTATTATTACAATCTTATTACAATGCAAGATCTTCCAACCCATTAAGACCTCTTCTCATTAGGTGCACCTATAATTTACCCGTGATCTCCAACAAATACCAAAAGCCTCATATTTCTCAGCGAACCGGGTGGATTCGCAGTACAGTATTCACTTTGCAGCTAATTTGCACTGAAGGGCATAAATAATACAAACCCACAACGTATACTTAGGCACGTACGAAAGCAGAGGACGACAAAGTGGACATTTCTCACCAGGAAGATAACGGTAAGGTGTAAACCGTGTAACAGACTCGCCGTGTCTGCGGAGGATGGACGCATGCGCCATCATTCACGCAGTCGCAGACGCGTCACTGCACGTGTTTACGCTATTTACTAATGTCTTATATGTGTTGCAGAGACCGTTGGGATTTACTACTTTGCGGAACTTTGTTTTACTGGTAGTTAGCTATATAATAATTTTAAATCTCATACGTGACAAATTCCAAACGCATTTTCAGGACAAGTACTATTTCCACGACCCCCAACCGAGTTAAGAGTAATTACTGGAAGATATATATCGAAGTCCTAATGAATGCATGGGCAATTTTGGCAATAAAAACACGATTATTAGTAGTATTAGTAGTTTTGAGTTCAAACTTATTTTGAAAGAAGAGTAGGCCTATAGGCCTCTTCTCGACAAATATTCGGATATTTGCTAGTTCAAGCTTTTATTTGTATCCGTTCTGCAATTTTCAACTGTGTTCTGGTGTATTTAAAACTGGATATTTTGGGGTATGTTGGGGTTCATTTTGAGATGCAGAATGAACAGAAACCCCTAAAAACTTCTGAGCCTTTCTCACTTCTAGCCTGGAATAAGCTACATAGATTTTCTATAACGTCATTAAATATGTCACATTAATATGTCAAAAAGAGTTTTTGGTCGACCAGTGAACTTTCTAATGGAAAAGAGCCATTTTTACATCCATACCTGATCACAACTTTTGCATATACATATAATATGCAGTCAAAATGTATTATAAGAGATGTGTTGGATTACTCCTAAACACTTTAAAAGAAAAAGAGCACTTTTCACATAAATTCCTAAATATACTGGAAGCAGTTGATGCAAGAATACAATATTTCATGCAAAATAATCAAAGGATGTTTTCTTAAACGTTTTTGATTAATAAACACTTCAACAGAAAATATTTAGTTTTACAGTACATACATTTCTGAAATGGTTGATCAAGTATAAACAATCTAGTATGATGTTTTTCAAAGTGGCCAAAAAGAGTCCCTGTAGATAATTTAGATTTTTTACACTCAACCCTGACTTGTAACTAGTTGCAGTTTTTTCATATTCACTAACGTCCCCAAGGAATGTTACCGATACATAAGCATGAACACCGGTCACCAGACAGCCAACTACACAAGGCCGATCCTCGACTTACAACATGGACGAGATAAGCGCAATTAAGCACACTGTTACATCCGCCATTCCTTCAAATGTCATATTTGCGCTCGTGTTAATTAATATTTACTATGACTTACGGCGGCGGCCGAGTTCCCTGCATTCTGCCAGTTTTTGTCCCCGTCCTCGTAGCCGACCAGATTAGATCGATCCCATCGCATAGAGCAAGATGCGAGCAAGATCTACAGCAAGAGAGAGAGAGGGACAAAATGTACGTTCTCAGGACAAGGATCTCAGAGGTACTTAAGGACATTTTTGTAATGCTTTTTTATCCAAACTATTCTTAATAAGAATATGATTATATTGCTTCTATTGATGATTGGATTATTTCTCGAATGCTAAGATAACTTGAGCTACTTTGGGAAATCGCACTAACCATTTTTCGCCATAAACATTATGCAAATCACAAAAAATAATTATCACCGTGAAAACGAACGTGAACAAATACCACGTAGAGGGCACATGGATGGGCTACCTTTTAACCAAGTACATCAGATTATGTTGGTTGCATAAGAACAGGACATTTTCGTACCAAACTTCGATCATCAATGTAGGAGTGTGGTAAATAAGCAGAATAAGGGGTTTATTATAAGTTATTGTGAAACAAAGCACGCAACTGTTGATTTTATTGAGCTTGGATTTAGATTATTAGGCTGGAGTGATAAATATTAATAGATGAGAATTTCAAACGAGTTCATAACACAGTTATTGGAACATCCTTGAGTTTTTCCTTCCACGGCTGACGAACTAAAGATTGCAATGATATTTCAAAACAATCAACCAACTTTTTTACCAGTACACTTTTCCCTGTACATTCAAAATTTAATACTAAACTCTGGGAATATACCTCGTGTGAATTCCTCACATACCAGACAATAATGCATAAAACGCAATGAGAAAACAAAAGTAAAATCGGCATGCGATTGTTTTGAAGCCCCAAGACAGTTGCTAAGATGGCGGCGTTGGATGTTAGAGAGTCCCATTGTGGTTCGAGGGGCCATTAAAACCTCCTCGACTACCATAAAGTTTTAAATCAAGACTAATTAATTTCACTACAATCGGAATTACAGACGGCTAACCCGCAGAAGGTTTGTTGTATATAGGACTGCGGCCACTTATGATAAACACCTATACAATGTTGCATATGCCTTCACGGATGTTCGATGTACTTAAAATTTGAACTTTCGCCTCTGCAGATCCTAAGACGCCGCCTGTTAGATTAGTTGTACTGTAGTACATATGCAGCTGTTGCAGTCGTTTCAAATTCCTCTAGAGGATGTAACAAATTTTAGATTGTTTAAATAAAAAAAAATTATAACTGTTTCTCTAGTCTAATTTTTCTAACCACATTTTTGAATACTGTACAAACATTAACAGGTCTTACCTATATTATGTTGATAACTTTGGACACACGTGCCATTATCTTCCCTAAACCATATTTTATTATGAGCGTATCCAAAAATAACCTAATGTGACAGCTTTTAACTTTTAAGGTTTCTAACCTTAAATTAGTTATATACTAGCCAGTTTTAATTTAATCATCATCATGTTGTGGTGTGATGAAAATATGCACAAACGTGTCATCGTGAGTACTACGACTATCCGCAGTACTATCCTGATAATTAGACCAATTCGTATATACCAAGGCAAAAATGTGGTTCGGATTCCACTATAAACTGTAGGTCCCTTAGTTGCCATTAGCTGTATGGGCTATTAATTAACAGCTGTGTCTAAGGAATGTCGGCCTTAGTCACTAACAAGACTACAAGATCACGCCACTCATCCTACACTCATCTCCATTCATACTTGGCTTAAAATACCTACTATGTATGGTCGCCATTTCATCGAACAGTGTTAACAGTATACTGTTGGAAATATCTAAGTAAAACAACCAAATCCAACAACAACCAATAGATTTTATATTGTTAAATCCCCCTCGTCCTTTGTACTCAGAGTTCAGAATTCCTTCGTGGGCGGTTCACATATCATAGCCTAAAGCCGAAGAGAAACATTGAACATTTATGATGGATCCACAATGGCATTTCGGCCTGTTGGGTTTGAAAGGTATTCCACACGATCTATTTGAACGAAATAGAGAGGAATTTAGGAACAAAGACTTGTAGGGGTAGAATAGGCGGCTCAGACAGTGATTCTATATGGCTAATTAGAGTGTAGTAGACTAAAAGCGTCCTTTGTCCTTACGTGTTGTGTAGACGCGGCTCTGGCGTTCTCAGGGCCTTTCTGTAGGATCTTTCAAACCGATCCAGAATTTCAAGCTTACAAACAGAAATCAAAGTCTAGTGGAACGAACTTGTGTAGGCCAAATAATTAGCAACAAATAATGTTCGAATATCAAAACGTGTAAGAAATTAAATATGTATCGATAATGGTAAAATCCATAACAAAATTCTGGTCCACAGCACTAAACTAGGCGTTGAACGTTAAAAATTAACTATGGTAAAGAAAGTATACGATTTTGGGCATTTTTGGTTTGGGTGTGAAAAAAAACCCTATCGATCACAAAACCAGAGCATTGAATTTTGTACATAGAAATACATAGAATTGACTGGACTTGACGATTGTCCAAGTTGCTAAATACACAATTCAATCGATGTACCAATTTCAGAGAAAGGGCATAACTAACAAACGGTGATTCCACTATCACATTTTAACAAAAGGATTTAGAAATTAGTCTATTGCTTTTTTAAATGTAATATCATAACTGTTGGTGATTCCTAAAGCAACCAGGATGTTTGTTTGCTAATAGCATTCCTAGTATTACACTTCTAATCCTGTTTGTAGGGAAACTTTCCAAACCACCCCAACGACTCGGATGTAACCACTGGGTTGGCTTTGTCCTTGGATGAATTACACAAGTATGACACGAAAGTGTACGGTAACAAATTGCCTACTACATTGTCTCTGCATACTTATGGATCATAGAAGCGTAATTTCTAAGTGAGTAAGTTATCGAACAGTATGTTCAGATGTATACATTTATTTAGGAATCGATTATAATTAATTAATGAGAACTGATTAGTATATTTGCTTCAAATGAAAACCGTACAAGTCTTTTGTTCAGTTTTAATATCCTATCATGATCCTTACAGTTTTGACATTCAAAATTGAGTCTTTTAAATGTAGCGTTGTGTAGAGGATCCCAAACACTCAATGTTCTCCTAGGCCCAGACCATGGTTCATTATTCTCAAATACTCTCCGAAGACCATCATGAACGTATCCGTCACTTACCGTTGTAACGCCATGATAGTACATTTTAAGGCGCTCCTAGACCTAGACCAATCATGATCCATTCTCAAAAGCTACCGACTTAGTGCTAAGATTCACTCTTCAATCTTCAGAACTTCCTAGACCAATCATGTCCACGTTCGTCACCCGCATTCCACGTCATCAATGTAACACCAAGAATGACACTCCAGCTAGGCC